GTAGCAGAAGCCGTAGCAGCAATGCCAGAACTTCGCACGCCAGAACCAGACCACCGGAAACGACGACACACTACAATCACAAGACACGCACGCCGTACCAAATGGCTACGTTGTGCCACACACACCGCGTTCTTACACAGCGAGGGAGCTCGAATTGAAAGTACCCCGAGGTTGCGTGTGTGCTCGCGCCCGTAACGTCTGTATCAATACGATCGACCGCGCCAGCCGGCTGCCAAGGAAGAGACGTCAGTTTCAGTGCCGCCAAAATACGTTTCTAAAGGCCATGCGCGGCCGAGTGTTTGTGTTGTTGCGTTCATTGCCTGGCCTGTGACCGCCACTCCGCCTGCGGCACGGCCTTCAGCCTCACAGTCCCGGCCTTGTTCTCCTTGCCGACGATGACCTTGCATGAAAGCCGCCACCGGACGGGAAGGTTTCCCCTCGACAACAGCATGAGCTCCTCTTGGTCCGGAGACGTCAGGAGATCAGCGCCCTGTTGGACCTGTTTTGCCGGAATTGTTTTTTCGACCACGGCACGCCGAGATATAAAAAGGGGGGCGGACTCGGCAAAACTCGTCGGAAGTGTCGCCGTTAACCGCGCCTGTATCTCTACAGTACCAGAGACGAGTCGCTCGCCTTGATCATAGGACAACGGCCGCCTTCGAAAAGCGGGCACAATCTTCAGGTATGGAAGGCGCGAGCTAGTCACAGATGTGTCGCGTTTCCTACACTTTTATTAGACGCGACTGAATGACATGCGCAAGCACGATGGCATGCACGCCTTCTTGTGCGCTATTGGTATCTATGCCACCGTTGGTGTTCCGAAAAACGCTCACCTCTACGAAGCAGGTGCCGCATGTCCCCTCTCCCGCGCAATTGCCCGTGGCGTACGGTTGGTCGAATCGCTTCGTTCTCGGGTCATACACCTTTGCGAGCGGGCAGTACCGCACCGCCCACCACGCAAAGGAGCGGGAAATGGAAAAATAATGAAGCCAAAACAAAAATGAAAAATGGTGCACCTCTGAGGACGGGAAAAACAATCGAAAATGTGAAGATATAACACGAAACCCTGCAACAAACTTAACCCTACGACTTTTGAACACACCAGGACAGCGAGTGAACGTGCCAAGGAAAACGACACGAAGATAGTTACCTTTTGAGCAACCCAAAAAGACCGGTAATCGGTGAAAGCGGCGACAAATAGTCACTCAAACTTTCCGCGGTGTGCAACGAAGGCGACATCCAAGAACGTGTGCATAATTCGAAGCACAACTCGCTGGAATATCAGCACACAACGTTGGGAGTCAGTCGGCCGCCGTGCAGAATCAACAGTCCTGTACGAACAACCGAGCTCCTAACAGGGGGTCGGTCGAAGCGTGCAAACCACCACAGTACAGTCGGACAGGCATCCATTCCGATACCACGCCAAACGAGTCACACGGGTGCCTGCTTTATGCTTGTAGCGCGTGCTAGAAACAAAATGTCGCACGGTTTCCGTCCAAACTGCGCGGCATCAAAACGGCTAAAGCCGAGAGTCATCAACGTGGAGTGTTGTACATGCAGACAGGAATGAATATGCTCTACAGGAAACGTCAGGCCGCCGCACCATCGGGCCTGCTTCCGACTGCTGCTGGTATTGATGTCAAACAGCCAGTCAGTCCCACACGCCGGATATGAAGAGTAGGTAACTCCGCCAACACAGGGTACGTCGAAGAGCCGGAAACGCGCGTCTCCAAGTCTCACCGGCACGTCTAGCCGAATCATCTCCCCCCGGAGGTTGCTGCCGGCCTTGATCTCGTGGTCGCGGGTCCCGCTCGGAAGCTCGAACTGGACATTGATCGACTCCCGCTTCACCAGGCGCTTGATGACCAGCACTATCTCGCTGAAACAAGAGCCACAGTGCACACAGAGCAACAGGGTAGAGGTACTTGGTTGATCGATGACACGACAATGGGGCCTCCCGGATGGACGGGACAACGCGGGGAGTGAGGGATAGAAGACAGGAAAACTTGTGTTCACAACGCTTGTAACGGGATTTTCTACTAGTGCTTGGTGCTAGTTCGGAGCCCCAAGCGGACGGGAGAGGCGTTCTTTGCGCAGCTCGGGTGCGATTGCACGTATCCGTCCACGACAGTTTGTCATGCTTTGGAGCCAAGAAAGCACGTAACATAGGATTCGTCATTGTTCAAGGCATCATGGCACTCCCCACCCCGACCGTTGCGAGATCGCCGCATGGGTGCGGTTCTCATACCACCATGTCGTACTGTGAGGTACTCTGACCATACGTCGATGTACTTGTATACATGGAACTCGCCTCTCTTCGGCGAAGCTGCCCAGGACGGACACGGTCTGGTCCCAATCCAGCGCCTCAACCCTCGACATGTCCCCCTCGATGCCCGCCGAACAAAGCGTGTCCCCCACGCAGATCTTCAGGAGAGTGATTGGTTGGAGGTAGCATTGCAAGCAGCGTAACGGAAAACGTAAGCAACCTTTGGAGCAGCAGCACTTGCGAACCGCTACGTGCGGCAGCGGCAGCAGCAGTAGGTCGTGAAGATTCAGCAGAATTGATACGCGGCGTGGATTCAATCATGTCGTAAGGTTAGGGTTAGGGTTACGGTGTGTTGTGGTGGTGGGATGGTGAGGTTGTTGGCTGGCACGCGCCAAGCATAATCAAGAGCTGGAGATGAAATAGGTCCATGACCCCTTACCTTTGCTCCACGCGTGTACGGCGACAAAACTTGCAGCGACAAACAAGCACAACCTAGATTTCACCGTCTAGTTTAGCCAAGTATGATTCTAGGCGAGGGGGGAATGCCTCTCCGGAAATTTTCCCACTGTAACCGCTGTAAGCAACCGAGGTGACAACAGCGATCTCGACACAGGACAGTCAACACACACCCCGTGGGGCTACCCCGCCTCGTTTTTTCGTTCCCAGCCAAGAGCTCCGCGGCAGCCTGTCCACTAGCGACGTGCCGTAGACCTGTGATAGCCCCTCGCCTCCTCACCTTGCCCGAAGCTTCGGCGTTTCCACCGGGCTCCAAGCCCGCCACCAAGACCAAGCCGCGACCGTCTCCGCCCCTGGCCACCTCCTCTAGCTGCATGCCTAGGGAGGGCTTGCGCTGCACTTGGACCTTGACGACTTCGATCTGTCCGGTTTGAGCGTCGTGTTCGGTGGGTTGACAACCGAAACGCCGGGTGTGTATGTCGGTCGATTGGACACGTTTTTTGTCGAAGATGAACTTGTTTCGACGATACAAAACAGACAATTAAACCTGACGAGTGAGTTTCATTCAGCTTGAAGACGTCGTTTGGTACAGGTTGGAACACGCGGTAGAGGCGCTTATCGGCAAATGAATGCCGTGTATCGCTGTTCTACACCATGTTCAGCGAGAACGGTTCCGCAGAAATAGCTGCGGCACGTCATGGTGCGGAGGAATACAACATGTTCAACTACGGTCGGTAGAAGTCAAAGGTTGACCATAGACTGAATATTTCGTGAGTTGGCACACATTCATGCAGATTTGAAAAAAATCCAGGCTCAGGTACACACCCAGCAACACGCTGCCACCTACGATACATGGTACACAATCGACTGAACCTTACACGCTCACACGACTCAGCGTCTGTACAGTTGCACCGGCGGTGGGACCCCAAAGAAACTCCCACAAGTAGCCAAGTTTTAGACGCATATTCGCAGCAGGGGGGGGGGTTAACCCTCTTAGTACTGGAAGCCCGAATGGAGACACTTAGGGACACAGTCCTAAAATGTCTGTTGTCCGCACCGTAGTCATCACATGCGCCGATGTGTGAACCGCTACTGTAGTGGGAAACCTTGGTCCACCATGTGTGTGTGAGGTGGTATGCACACGCTGTGTGATACACAGCTGTGTGATGCCTGTGTGCCTCTCCTCGGCCTCTGACTTGATGTACACACATCTCCAAAGTCACGTGTCCCCAAGGTGGTAAAACTGCAAAATAGCCTAGCACTGGAAAAGTTTGCTGACTTGGCTTCATAATAGAAATTGTTCCCAGCGCAATTGGGGACGCTCTCCATACTGAAGCCAAATCAGCCTTCGTCCCTTGGGACTGTACGGCCTTGTCCAATGAGCGGACGCCATGTTTTCTGGGCACATAACCTGTAACGAACTGCGTACTATTATACGTAGGTGAGGACAAGGAGTGTGATTATAAGGAGAACGTCGACCCTTTGCCCTTAGCTAGCGCGCGCCGTGGGTGTCGCTCACTTGCACTTCGGGTCAACAGGGTGTCAACCAATCCTGGATGGCTACGGGCCGGGGCATCTGATCGTCACATGTTGCTGGTCAGCACGATTGTATGCAGAACAAACTCACGGCATAGTCAGTATCCTTCGACTCCAGTCCCACCACGCCATCCACACGACCTTGCGTTTCCAACGTCAACCGCTTGTAGACTCCATCCAAAGTCAGCCCAGCCGGGCTTCTTGCTAGACCGTCGGCTCCTTCGTCCTCCGCTTTGGCCTCGTCTTCGACATTCAAACTAGCCACCTCCTCGGTGTCTCCACCTGCTTCTGATGCCCTCATGACGCCACACGAAGCCGAACGAGTGGCGAGCCCACTGCATCTCGTGATGGCCGGGCTGGGCAGCAGGAAAGAAGCGCCGTTCCGCAGCTGCAGAGCGAGGAAAAGCAGCAAGGAGCGCGCTGCCGACTTGCTCATGTTTCTCGAGTCACCACCCAGGAGAGCAACAACGACACAATGCTCTCGTTTAGGTGATGTACTCACACAGCAAAGCCTAGAAAATTAATGAGCCTGGGGTAGCAACCCCTCCTCGTGCTGATGTTTGTAGGTCGGGGGTGGGGGCGTGCTGCGGCAAGCAAGGTGGTGAGTCATGTTGTCGTGTTCGCCCGGCTGGCTTTTTTGCGCACAAGGGGCACCGCGACAAACATACACACATATACGGAGTTTTGATATTTGTCTGCGAAGCCCCAATATGCGAACTTCCTTCGGCACCCACAGCACCGCTCTTCGTTGTCCCTGCGCGTCCCACACCAGCTAGGACGGCACGACTCTACTCTTCTGAGAGTATTTGAAGCCCCACGCAATGGGAGGAGAGAAAGAATGGGCGGCGGCAGCAGTGAAGGTGTGGAACGTGATCGTCTTTTGTAAGTACTTGTACGTCATACACATCATTTCCGTTGACTTCGCACCAGGGCGAGAAAGCCTGCAACAGCAGCGTTGCGCGACAGGAAGATAGGAGGGTGATGCGACGGTTTTTCTGTGCACTTCCTTCGCAGTTCGAATCTACGGGTGACTTTGATTACCCACCGCGACATCGGTGCTGTAATCCAGATCTATGCCATTCGTTTTTACCATGGTCAAGGTCGTGTAATAGCATAGCCAGAACAGCGTAAAACAAGTTGAAGAAGGTCGCTTCCGCTCTCCTCTTGCAAGCCTCGTCTCCTGCAGGCTTCGTTGTCGCCTGCATCGCATTTTTGTACCATCCGCTGGTATTAAACCACGCCCCCAGAAAAGCCCTACTGGGACATTCCCTACATCACGTTCGGAGATCGACCATATACATGTAAAGGTAAATCAACAGGACGCTCCACTTGGCTCCCTGTGCGTCAATGCCTACCGTTTATGACACAAGATAACACACCCCGGTGATAGCATTTTGGAGTTTGAAAATGCTATCCTAGCTATCTCGGGGTGTGGTATCCTGTGGGGGGGG